GTTGTTGTAGAATTAATGGCATGTATGGCACGCGGTCGTACTAATTAACGTCAACACAACGTTAACACGCGTCAACACATGATAGTAACCCCAACACACCGTCAACACACCCAAATCACGTTCAAGTAAACAGAAATGCGAGTCGATAGCAATATATATAATGCCTAAAATACAATTTGGCGACAGTACAGTAGGCACGACATTTTTTTTTTGGGGGGGGGTTGCCTCGACCAGACGGACTACACCATTAAGCTACAGGGGGTCAAAACGCGGTGAGGAGGCAGGATGGCGGCGAAGAGCGGCGCTGCTCAGAGACAATTTTTTCACGTTTAAAAAACTCCCTTGAAATGTCGTAAAATGTAAACTCGATCAAATAGTAATTATTTCTAAGTGTACACATTACAGTTCGGTAAGTCTGTTTTTAATGCATTTTTGTAAGTGCAGGCGGTGTGTTGACATGTGTTTCTTCTTCCATGGTTGACCTTACTATCAATGTGTTGACGCATCCTGATGGTGTGTTGACGCTGATTAGTACGACCCATGGCATACGCTGGTGCCCTTTATGCCATTAGCAAAAAGGTCGCTTGGCCATGTGGTAGTACAGCTAGAAATTCAAATAGCTAAAGACACTTGATCAGACAGTAAAGAGTGGATAAAGGAAAAAGAAAAGGACATTAAAAAATGCTACAACAGAATGGCATTAACACGTGAGCAAGAGAAGAGCTGAGAACGCCAATGATCCTCCGAACATGCAGTGTCGCTGGTGCCCTGCAAGGTTGGACCGTACCGTGCAGTTTAAGGGCCAGGGCCCGGCCATAACATTACAGTTATGGGTGTATTTTAAGATTGAATGGGAGAAATGTTTTTGCCCTAATAATTGTGTGAGATTCATTTGAGCGTCAGTTAAACCTAGTGTTTTCTGAAGGGTCTGTCTCTGTGTATTGAACTTATTACACTCAAGCAGGAAATGTTTGACGTCATCGAGAGTGCCGCGAGAATCGCAAAAATTATTGGAAGTTTTTCCAATGTTGTAGAGGAAAGTTAGGTCCTTTGCAGATGCCCAGGCGAAGTGTGTAAGTTGTGTACGTCCTTTGCCCCATTTTGTAAAGGTAAAGGAAGGGTCAAGCTGTAGGTGCGTAGAATGGTCAATATTTGGGACGGACTTTTTCCATTTATTTATGAGATCATTTTTAAGACAGCGTTTGATTCCGGTGTCAGAGAAAGGGGTGTGATGGTCAACTTTTTTTTTGTTCGTAGTTTAGCTAATTTGTCAGCCTTTTCATTGCGGCAGGAATATCACAATGGCCCTGAATCCATTCAAATGCAACAACGTTTCTTTGGTGCTGAATATTAATGACGGTATGTCGAAAGTCACAGACGATTTTATTCCGTCTGGGACAGGGGATTAGCAATAGCTTGGATGGCACTTAAACAGTCACTGAATATACAAGAGTCACTGGATTGACGGTTTCTGTCCATTCGGACCCACGGCTAAGGGGATGGCGAAAAGTACAGCTGTGAAAATAGAGATACCGTTGTTAAGTCTGACATTTTTGGAGTAGTTAAGTTGCGGAATATGCAGACTGCAGCCAACTGTCACGGTGTTGAGGTCAGGATTAAAATATCCATCAGTATAGATCCGAA